AATTTTTGAGAGGATTTTTATTTTCATTTCAGAATATTTTATTCTCACATCGACAAATAATTTGAAATAATGAAATTTAAAATTAAGAGAGAAATTTTGTTTAAAAAAAGTTTTTTATATTAATTATAAAAAGTTTATTATATTTTAATAATTTTAAAATAAATAAAATGAAATTTGATGCNATAAAATATATAACTATATAAATATTATAAATATTATTAACATAATGTAAATATACAAATTTTACAAATATTATAAATATTATCGACTATGAATGTTAACTTTAGAGTGTTCGTAATATTAATAACCCCTGAACGAATCTATCATTGAAAATGTCATTAAAATATTATAGTCAAATTGATAATATTGTAAATAATTACATGTTAAATATTAATTGTAATGTTATATATATACTTCGAAATTGTCAAAAATTTGAAAATAAAAAATAATAATCGTGAACTTTTGTATCCATAGAGAGATCGTTTTATTTTTAGAATAAAAATTGATTGAGTATAAAATAATAAACTGGATATTCATGTAAATATAATATGTCAAAATATATAAAATATATATATATGCAAAATATATACAGTATTATTGGAAAGGAATATGTAAAAAATACAAGTATATATCTATATAATATAAATCATTTTATTATTTTATTTACTATAATTTAAGTTACAATAGTTTCTTCTATGTTGTTTGACATCTCTTGTCTGATAATATTAATTTGTATATTGAAAAAAAGAATTTTCTACATTATACAATATCATAAAAGTATGAATATTTGTATCAATGATGTACAGTATAATCTTTAATAGCTATTAATCTTATAAAATATTAATAATTTATGTATTTAAATTTTCAATATAATTTCAATCTTATTTATTACTTATTTCGAAATATATTTTTAGAATCAGTATTAAATTAATAAATTAAATTAAAAATAATGCTATTTTATTCAATTCTTACATGTATTTATAATCGACGTTCAAATGGAAATCAGATTAATATAAACGAATATGAAAATTTATACACAAAAAATAATATAATATAATATAATAATAAGTACAATATAATATATAATGTGTAAAATATATACATTATTATATATATACATTATATATACATTATTATGTTATATTATGCAAAATATAAAAAATATAAAAAAAGAATTATAATTAATATTTTTAGAATTTTATAATACCAAAAAAATTCTATTTAAATCCTATTTTTCTATTCATTTTCTATAAAAATATGCATTCACAATCTAATTATTAATTTCGAAGAAATTCTAATCGATGAAACATTTTAAAATTATTTCTTAAATATAAAAGTTGTATGTGTAGATAGTTATATAAATCATAAATTTAAGATTATTAAAATTTTTTTGAATATTTTCTCTAGAATAATAATTTAATATCTAAATATTATTCTGTTTTATATAGAGATACGCGTAAATATATCTATCATAGTTCGTCTGCTGAATTACAAGATAGACGAATACATTTCGCCACTGCAAAACATGGCTTTGAAGACTCATTCTTTCGATCCAGATTGCATAACATTGACGAGATTCGTACTTGCCGAACAACGAAAGATACCAACCGCTAGCGGAGATCTAAGTCAACTTCTAAACAGCATACAAACTGCAATAAAAGGAATCAGTTCAGCAGTGAAAAAAGCTGGTATTACAAATATGTAAGTATTTTACATATTGATATTTTAATATTTACAATATTTAATTAGTTGTGTATTTTTTTTAACATATAGGATAAATATAATAAGTATAATTATAAATAAGAATCAAGAAATAATTGATTCACTATATTTTTAAAATTTAAATTTCTTTATATATAAATCGTTGCAATAATCTTTTTTTTTTAAATTACTCTATTTTTATTATTATTTTTAAGTATTAAGAAATAGTGATTGATCAAAGATTAATAAAATAAAGATTTCGTTACATTATTAAAATTTTGCATATTAAAATATTAAATTAAATTCTTATATTATAAAAAAATAAGAATAAATAAGTAAAATAATTTATTATCAAAAGTTTATAATGTACAATAAATATAATAAAAATTATGTTTTATATTTTGATTAATAAAAAAAAATTGATTTTTTCATTTTTAACAATTTATTCAGAGAAAAATAATAAACTCTTTTACAAATCCTAATGCAAATAATATAAAAATATCTCCCAAATTATTTAAAAATTTTTAATTTAATTATTAAATATTCGAATATTAAATATTAAGTATTAATAATTGAACCGTTTGTTCAATGAGAAGAACTTGATAACCTTCTTTTAAATGACTTTTTATCGAAACATAGGTACGGAATATCCGGAAAAAAAAACATTCACGGAGAAGAAGTAAGAAAATTAGATATATTGAGCAACGAGTTGTTCATAAATATGTTAACATCTTCGTACACAACTTGCATTCTTGTAAGTGAAGAAAATGCAGATGTGATTGAAGTGGAGATTGAAAAACGTGGAAAATATATAGTATGCTTCGATCCTTTGGATGGATCCTCTAATATTGATTGTGTAGTATCAGTTGGTTCAATATTCGGGATTTACAAGAAGCCGAAGGAATTGAAAGAGCCTTTAATAGCAAATGTCCTCCAATCTGGTAAAAATTTAATCGCTGCTGGGTTTGCACTCTATAGTTCAGCAACTATATTAATACTTTCGGTTGGCCACGGAGTTAATGGTTTTACTTACGATTCAGCGATCGGGGAATTTATTTTAACCGACAAAAATATACAAATACCTCCTAGAGGAAATGTCTATAGGTAAGAATTAAATTATTTATCATTTTTTCAAATTAATTTAAAACATCGAAAAAGGAAACTTAAAATATTGAATTCTTTTTGAAATTTGAAACTGTCAAATAAATAAAGAATAATTTATGAGAATGTATTATAAATAACTTATAAATAACTATATTTATAAATAACTTATGAGAATGTTATAATGATATAAATTTATATTTATTTAATTAATGATGATCTAATTAAAATTGCATTTAAATTTTAACTCATTTTAATTGATCAATTCATTACAATAATTCATATGAAAAAAATATAAAACGTATATATATATAAAAATACAAATGTTTACAAAACATTATTATTGTTACTATTGGTTGAATTAGAAAATTGATTAGAAATCAAAATTGATTAAAATTTTAATTTTTAACGGAATAAATACATCTTGAAAAAAAGAAAGAAAAATAATTCTGGATTTTTGTAGAATTTTGAGATTTTGTATAATTTCAAGTTTGGATTTTAGTTTTGTGAATTTAAAAAAACAGATATTAATTCATTCCTAATTTTAATATACATATAATAATATAATGATTTTATTATTAGTATTATTTTATTATTAGTATTAACGAAGCACACGAAAATTCTTGGAATACAGCTATCAAAGCGTACATTCATTCGAAGAAATATCCTAACAATGGGAAAATATATAATGCTAGATATGTGGGTTCTATGGTGGCTGATGTGCACAGAACGTTAAAATATGGAGGAATATTTCTTTATCCAGCAGTCAAAAGTTATCCGCAAGGCAAGGTATGGTTATTTTAAAAAAATAAAAAAATAATGTACAAATAATTTCTGAAATATATAATTATTTATAGCTGCGACTTTTGTATGAATGTATACCAATGGCCTATATAGTGAAACAAGCCGGCGGCTTGGCATCGAACGGAGAAATTGATATCTTGGACGTAAAACCCAAAAAACTTCATCAAAGATCTCCAATAATTTTGGGATCGCAAGAAGATGTCCAAGAAGTTTTACAATACATTAAAAAATATAAAGATAATAAATAGTGGAAAGAAGAAGATAATAAAACATGGAAAAAAGTTATTAAAGATTTTATTACGAGGCATATAATTTATTGACACATTCCGATTTCGTTGATTATCTCTTAAATTTTCATCTTTATATTTTATTGAAAAACTAATTTCAATATAAATCTCTAATATCTATATCCCTCGTTACTGGTAGATCCTCCAGGAGCAGGTCCTGGAGCTGGATAAGTTGCTGTTCCTTCGTATCGTACCATGGGCCTGTAACCACCATTGTCGGCGATATAATCGACAATTTGTGTTCTACCATCTGGTAATAATACGTGATAAGCTCCAGTTGCTTCGTTATCTTTTCGTGATTCGTGATGGCCAAAATTTAATCCAGCTACTGCGTCCTCGACTTCATATGAAAATTCGTAATTTGCCGGATCCTGAAAAAAGAGAGAAAAAAAAGAAAGAAGACGTGGAAAAGTATTTTATATTGATCACAGATTAAATTCTAAAGGTATGTTTACCGGTATTTTACTTATAAAATTTGTACATTTTACTATAAAATCGTTAATATGGATTACTAAATAAAAAAATTTGTTTATAAAAGTAATATATTCATTATTTTATTCGCATAATATGAATGACAAAATATAAAGGAGAAAAAACTACTTACACCGACCCACTCGTCAGGGTGACCACCAGTAGCTGGACGTGTTCCTGTAGGTGGAAGATAGGCAGGTCCTTGAGGTTCGCTCAAAATTCCTACCGACATTATTGTTAACAAAAGTACCTGTGTAAAAAAAAATCTTTTGCATTTCTTTCAATCCAAAAAGAATGCATTACTTGTGAGTTGTTTAAAAAAAGGTTTAAAAAAATTAAAAGATATTTCGTCGAAATGAGATTTATGTTTAATGTTTCTCGATAATATGATTGAAAAAATGCTATTAATATTAGATAAAAAATTCTATTGTTTATGAACAAAAAAGATATTTAAAATCCCGTAAGAAAGATTATGTATAACTAAGAACAAACCTTTCGAATCATTAGCAGGATCTTGCAAGTCTTCACCGAAAGAAAATAGCTTAATGTTATGAAGACGGTGGATTTTATACCGTGTTTCAGGTTGCGGGTGCAACGAAATGGAGATGGAATCACAGTGATTTGGGGGAACTTTAATACGAATCCATACCTATAATTATAGTTAATAATAAAACCGCATTGCCTTTCTGGCTATATAACAGCAATCATTCATTTGGTGAGTTCAGTTCCTGAATCGCTAAAATTCTTACTATTTTCGGTAAGAATTGAAATTATTCAAATTACAGATATTTTATTTTAGAGAAAGATTATTTGAAATTAAAATTTGTTAGATAAATAATATATGTTTATTGTAGAAATTGCATTGAAAAAACAATTTTCTGGTTAAATATATAATTAATATAATAAATAATAATATAATAAATAATATAATCACATAATAATTAACGAAGAAAAAGAAAATGGTTCGTATTCTTTTTTCTCTTATGTCATACTTTTGTCATATTTTATGTCATAATTTACTTTTACCATTATTTTCATCTTTATAAATACAGCATGATACAAATACAATCTTTTCATGTCGTGAATGATATTAAAACATAGTTTACGTGATACGATAATATTCTACTATACAAGAAGTATAAATATAAAAGTAAAAACTTCGTAAACATGATTAATCACCTAATGATTAATTTAATAATGCATCAATAATACTCCTATAGATTCGTATAAAACTTTTTCATCCTTTGAAATACGTTTCGACAATCTTGTGCGCATTACATAGAACCAAAAGTTCGATATAATGAAATTACAACAATAATAATATATGCTAGCATTATAATTAAGAGTTTAAACATCTATAATACTGTTGCGTTTCTTTTCGACATCCGTGGCATCTAAATCATTTCCAAGACTGCCGACTCTTCCTCTGAGACCAATTCCTGGACCAACTTGTCCTGTAGCTTTTAATTTTTCTTGCATTTGTGCAAGCATATCTTGCATTCTTCTTATCTGTGAAGATAAAATTTGAGAAGCAATTTTAAGAATTGTTTATGAACAATAAAACCATGTATGTACAGTTACAAAAATTTTCATTCAAGTTATCTTAGAGAGAAATTTATCCATTTTGAAAAATAATTTTAAAAATTGTATACATAATGATTTCAAAAATGTATATATAAATTAATGGGTTATACACAATTTATTTTATATAATATATAATATATAATATATAATATATAATTTATATAATTATATATTATATATTATATAATTATTCTTTTCTCTTCAAATTTTATTATTTTTTAATTCTTAAGCAAATAAATATCTTATTAAAGAAATTTAAAAAATTAAGAATTCATTATAAAAAATAATTACAATTATATTTACATTGCAAAAAATGTCATTTCTTGATTTCAAAAATACTTGTTTTATTCATATAGTAATGTAATTAATTTCAATAAAATTGTATAAC